GCTATCCCTATCGCAGCTGGATCTCCCCTCCTCGTGAACCAAACACTCGTGACAACTATGTCGAGGGCAAACCCCGACACCTATGCAGGAGAAAGACCTGGGGATCATGGGTTTCTGAGTAGTGGCTGATGGGTTTGAGGCACCAACCTTGTGGCTAGTAATGCAGTGTGTATCCTACAGTGCCATACCAGGACCTCCACCCATAAATCCTGTGGGACAATTCTGTTATGTCACATAGGTTTTCTGTGAGTCAAACACGGCTTGATAGCACTTAACATCAACATATCTATGGAAGCAGATCAGCAGGACCTTTTCAGTCTGAGCCTCTGAGTAGGTTTGAACAGCAGACCCTTTTTTCAGTTAGCTGGTGAGCATGGAACTGTTGAATCACCAGGACTCCATCCTTACACATGGTAGTGGTGTTTGTATGCCGTGGAATTGGTTCTGACTCAGCGACCCTGTTTCTGAGGCTGTAATTCTCTAGGGGAGCAGAAAGCCTTGTCTTTCTCCCATGGAGCGATTGGTAGAGTTGAACTGTTGACCTTTTGATTAGCAGCCCAGTTCATAATCCACTACACTACCAGGGCTCCTTCCTTATAGCTGAGAGCATTGTATATCTCAGCTTCAAAACTTTCCCTGCATTTCAATACATGCATTAGTCTTCCCATGAGACTGATACGTTCAACTATATATTAAATATTTAGAACCCATGATTTGAAGTATAAAAATCAAACCACTTACTTGAAATCTAGATGTTCAATGAGCACATATCCATCTAAGGAAGCAAAAGTCACTATTACTAATCTGAAAACTAGAGAGAATTCTTTAACTTTTCATAAAAACAGTGATTGAATTGTATGAGTTATACATTAAACTTACATTTGCCTTCAGAATTGCGACATATCACTAGATTCTGTTCAGTAATATCAATGACTTCCAGTTCTTCTCCAGGGGTTATTGGCAAATCACAGATTCCCTTTCTTGAATTTCTAGAACATGCCACTGCTGTGTTGATGACAATAATCTCTTTGTCATACTGAAATGAGAAATTACCAATCAGATCATGCTTACATGTTTTTATTATTTTCCATTATATCAAAATTCATGGATGACATAATAAAGTAACTGCACGATAAACCCAAGGTGTCAGATATTGATTAGTTAAACAACGTCTCAGGGAATTGGAAATAATAAGTAATTTCAGGGAACGATAGTAAGATGTCACCATCTTATATTTGGTATGAGTCCTAGCATAGTGCTGCGGGTTAATGTGCTGGACGGCAAGGTCGATGGTTCAAGCCCATCATCCGCTCCTTGGAAAGCCTATACAGGGTCACTGTGGGTCAGAAACAACTCGACAGCATTCAATAGCAGTATCCTTTCAAAGTGTTTTCACCCCTATTATCTAATTGTAGTAGAATGAATGTTGGATGAGAAGACTGAATGTGTGGGTATAAATTAAGTATTGTGAATGGTATGCTAACTGTTCCAAAAACAAAACTATAACCAAACCAAGAAGGAGAAGGAAAAAAAGAGGAAGGGGAGGAGAGAAAGAGAATGCCACTTCTTTCAGTAACCTCATATGCATGATACAGTTGGACAGTGAATGGGGAATACCTTAGAAGAATCAATACATTTGAGTATGGTGTTGGAGAAGCATATCAAAAGTACCATGGACTGCCAGAAGAACAAACCATCTGTGTTGGACGAAGTACAACCAGAATACTCATGAGACACCAGGATGGTGAGACTTCGTTTCTCAGACTTCAGACACGTTGCCAGGAGGGACTTGGGAAAGTGGAGTTAGCAAAAAAGAAGGACCCCCGAGATAGCTTGGCACAGTGGCAGCAGCAGTGGGCATAAGCATATCAACAATTGTGAGGGTGGTCCAGGACTGGGCAGTGTTTTGTTCTGTTGTGCATATGGTCACTATCAGTTGGAACTGATTTGATGGTACCTAACAAGAAGAACGTGTGTATGTAGTGCCTTAGCGTTTATAATGTTCTTTCATACCTATCACTTCTAGGTGATATTTTCTTCTCTGGGTAAGCTTCTATACTCTTATATATGTTGCTACCACATGTACTTTGAAAGTACTGACAATGGGGTGCATATGGAAACCCCCACTCTATTTGTGTGGTCAACACCAAGCGTTTGTGAAACAATGAATAAATTCAGTTATTGATCTTGGGATTTTTTTTTTTTTTTATGTGTATTAAGCTGGTTTGCTTATACATCTACAAATACCTCAACTTCTAATATATATTGGACAGAAAAACAACAAAAACAGTTCCAGAATATCTAGCTTATATTTTCAGGTGCTGTGGGCTAATGTGTCAGACTGCAAAGTCATTTGAACTGCAAGGTCAGTAGTTCAAGTTCACCAGCTTCTCCTTGGAAACCCTATACAGGATCGCTATGGATCAGAACCAATTCAACGGCACTTAACAACAACAATATTCCAATAAAGTGTACGGCCGTACCATCCTGAATGTGCCCGATCTCGTCTGATCTCAGAAGCTCAGCAGGGTAAGGCCAGGTTAGTACTTGGATGGGAGAACATTTGGGAAAACTGGGTGCTGTAGGCTTTGTATGCTGTGGCCTAATACACTGTACTGCAATGTCAGTTTGAACCACAAGGTCAGCCGTTCAAGCTCACAAGCCACTCCTTGGAAACCCTATACAGGATCACTATGAGTCAGAACTGACTCGACAGCACTTAACAACAACTCCAATAATGGAGACCTGGTGTGGCTCAATGGGTTAATGCACTGGACTGCAACGTCAGTTTGAACTGCAAGGTTGGGGGTTCAAGCTCACTAGCCACTCCTTGGAGTCCTTATGAGTCAGAATCGGCACTTAATGACAACAATAACTTCAATAAAGGAGTCCTGAGTTGGCACTGTAAGATAAACACTAGGCCACAAGGTCAGTTTGAATTGCAAGGCTGGTGGTTCAAACTGACTATGAATTAGAATTCATAGGGTCACTATGAATAACAGCAACAACTCCAGTAAAGGAGTCCTGGTCTGGTGCTACAGGATAATGTGATGAACCACAAGGCCAGCAGTTCAAATCCACCAGCCACTCCGTGGAACCCCCATACAGGGTCACTATGGGTCAGAACCGACTTGATGGCATTTAACAATAATAACTCCAATAAAATAGGGTGACCAAACACCTGTTGTTGCCGAGGACAGCCATTGTTTACATTTAATAACTTAATTTACAACTACTTATGATTAAGGAGTCTTTGTGCCTCTCTCAGAAATGTCCTAAGTTTGGCTTATAAATGATGAGATCCAATGGGATCTAATCCACAGGTAGATTTTTCTTTTGACTAACAGAGTACTAGCATTTTAACTGATCTCTAGCCTTTTTAGACTATTGTTCACTGTGAATCTATAGTGGCTCTAAAAATGCAACTTGATTCGGTCACCTTCCTGTTTATGAAGTTCTTTCAGGAGAAGATCCACATTTCTTAGTGTGGCATTCAAGGTCCTTTGCATGCTGTCATTCCCTGTTCCCCCACTCTGTCCCCTTCACAGAAGCCCCATCAAGCTATATGGTAATCCTTAGACACAACATGCACCATTCACACTTGTATTCCATTGACTTCCTCTGCCTGAAATACCGGTTTTACCATTTCACGTAAAGACTTTGATTACTATGTATGATGTACTGTTCCAACTGCACTTTGAATACTCTTCTATTATGTTGCTGTTGTTCAATGCTGTTGAGTCTGTTCCAATTCATAGCAAGACTATAGTTCCGAGGGGGCAGTTGGTGGGTTTGAACTGTCGACCTTGTGGCTTGCAGTCTAGTGCTGATCCTACAGTGCCATATATTCCTATGTTGTTGTTGTTGTTATGTGCCGTGGAGTTGGTTCCGACTCATAGCGACCTTGTACAGGTTTCCTGTAAATCTTTACAGGAGCAGAAAGCCTCATCTTTCTCCCATGGAACAGCTGGTAGTTTTGAACTGCTGACCTTGGGGTTCGCAGCCAGATTCATCACCACTACGCCTCCTATGATACCATTTAATAAAAGTTGTTGTTTTGGGTGTTGTAGAGTCAGTTCCAACCCCATGCACAACTGATCAAAACACTGCCATTGTCACCATTGTTGCCGTGTTTAAGCCCATTGTTGTAGCAGGCACCATTTATTAGTTAAATGGGAGGGTCATTTATTTTGTAGGGTCAATGACTGGGACTAATGAGGTATACAGTAAATCTATGATTTGAGCAAATCAAAATTATTGAAATGGTATTTTTTTCCAGCAGTACAAGGAAGGCCCTCCACAAGTTATATAAAAGAATCAAGCACAAACTATGTGAAATGCATTTCCACCCCCACCCCCCCATGATATAGTAAAAAATGTTGTTATGTGCTGTGGAGTCTGTTCCGACTCATAGCGACCCTGTACAAAGTTTCCGAGGCTGTAAATCTTCACAGGAGCAGAAAGCCTCATCTTTCTCCCACGGAGCAGCTGGTAGTTTCGAACTGCTGACCCTGGAGTTAGCAGCCCGATTCGTAACCACTATGCTACCAGAGTTCCTTAGTCAAAAATAGATAGAGGGAAAACCACCAGATAGATGTAGGGGTCTTTTCAGCCATTATCCTTTTTCAACTATTCACATAACGATTTTTCAACATTGTCATTCTTCATCTATCTAAATAACATCATTAAAAAAAAACAACAAACTTTAATTTTGAATTGAGTGAAGACTTCAGGGTAGAACATCAATTTTACATTTACCAAATCACATACTTTGCTTCATTGCAATGATTGCAATCCCCTCCAATATTTACCTCTAGTCACTTTAACTCTTGAATTCCTTCTTGTGTCTCACGATGCCTTCCTTCATCTTCCTTCTGCCAAACTCCCTCTTGTATATTGTCTGCCCTGCCACTCATAATAATATGTATCTATACTCTAGCCTCTGAATAATTTCCCTTCGCTTGCCCTGTAGCCTTCATAACTATTTATTTTATCAAGAACACCTTTTTTAATCTTCAAAATATTATTCTAACAATATTTGTCCTTTTGTGACTAATTTTACTCAGCATAATGTCCTCCAGGTTCATCTATGTTGTGAGGTGTTTTGCAGATTCATCATTATTCTTCAATGGTGCATAGTGTTCTATTGCGTCCATGTACTAACGTTTGTTTAACCGTTCTTCTGTTGATGGGTATTTAGTCTGACACCATCTTTTTGACGTGTCTCTTGTAGATAGCATATTGAAGGATCTCGTTTTCTTCTCCATTCTGCTTGCTCTGTCTGTTGACTGGTGTATTTCATCCATTTACATTCAGTGTAATTATCAGTAGATAATGGGTTGATTAATTTTGCTGTGTGTTTTTTGTGGTGCCACTGGTTTCTTTGTTCCATATAATTTGTTGAAAACTGAACCACATGAGTGAGTTCAGTTCCAGACATGACAAAGGACCATAGTATCCGTGTTCCACTGATCTCTTTCTGACCAATAAGCCTGATCTTTTTTATGACTTTGAGTTTTGCTCCACGATTTTTTCCACTGTTTCTAGGATCTTCTGATGTGATCCCTTTCAGAGCAGATGATAGTGGTAGCCGGCACCGGTTCTTCTGGTCTCAGGGTCATGGAAACTGGTGTTCAGATGACCCATTAATGAGTCCATTGGACTAATTGTTTCCAAGTGTCTTTGATTTTCATCATTCCCCTTTCCTCCAGATAAGGAGGGAACAATAGTTAGACCTTAGATGGCTGCTCATGAGCTTTGAATATCCTAGTCAATACTCACAAAAACAGGCTGTAGAACAATGTCTCCATGGATTATGTTGTGCCAATTGGCCATGGTGTCCCCAGAGACTGTGGTCCTGAGCCCCATGGCCCAGTGAGGTTCAGTACCATATTTGGATGTTTATAGCATGTTACTTTTATTTTGCTCTGCGAGCAAGATATGGAGTTGACTAGAATACCCCTTGTCCTCTTGTTGTTGTTAAATGCCGTCGAGTTGGTTCCGACCCATAGCGACCCTGTATAGGGTTTCCGAGGAGCAACTGGTGAGCTTGATCAACACTGACCTTGTAGTTCAAATGGCTTTGCAGTCTGGCGTATTAACCCACAGTGCCACACCAGGACTCCTAAGAGTGCATAACTTAATATGATAGCTAGATCATTACAATAATGTTTTTGTAATATGCTAGAAGTTTACTCTGGAAGGGCAATTTTTTTAAATCAGGAAGTTTGTGCAAGTTTTTCAAAAGCTTCCCATTGTGAGATGGGTCAAGTTTGGGCTCTTAACATGGTATGTTGTTGTTGTTGTTAAGTGCCGTGGAGTCGGTTCCGACTCACAGCGACCCTGCACAGGGTTTCCGAGGCTGTAAATCTTTACGGGAGCAGAAC